TTTGTTATGCATAAAGCCATAGTTAAAACATTTTTTTATTTGGAGGTCATTTTAGGTCATTAGAAGGTTTAACACTGGATTTATAGCTGCTACTGTATTCCCTTGGTTCCTAGCTTTTGTTTGAAGTGCATAAAACGATAGTTAAAGCATTTTCATTTTGGTGGTCATTTTAGGTCATTATAGGTCGTGATATGCATAAAACCAAAGTTAAACATTTTCCATTTGTTGAGGTCATTAGAGGTCATTAAAATTCAATTTGATTTTAGGAAATTCGAACACTAGTAGGAGTAGGATGGTAAGGATTAGGATGGTTAGGATTAGGATGGTAAGGAGTAGGATGATCAGGAATAGGATGGTAAGGAGTAGGATGATCAGGAATAGGATTGTAAGGAGTAGGATGGTAAGGATTAGGATGGTAAGGAGTAGGATGGTAAAAAGTAAGATGGTAAGGAATAGGATGGCAAGGAATAGGTTGGTAAGGAGTAGGATAGTATTTAGTAGGATGATCAGGAATAGGAAGGTATGGAGTAGGATAATCAGGAATAGGATGGTAAGGAATAGGATTTTAAGGACAGGATGGTAAGGAGTAGGATGATCAGGAATAGGATGGTAAGGAGTAGGATGGTAAGGAGTAGGATGGTAAGGAGTAGGATGGTAAGGAATAGGATGGTAAGGAATAGGAAGGTAAGGAATAGGATGGTAAGGAATAGGATTTAAGGACAGGATGGTAAGGAGTAGGATGATAAGGAGTAGGATGATCAGAAATAGGATGGTAAGGAGTAGGATGATCAGGAATAGGATGGTAAGGAATAGGATGGTAAGGAGTAGGATGGTCAGGAGTAGGATGGTAAGGAGTAGGATGGTAAGGAGTAGGATGATCAGGAATAGGATGGTAAGGAGTAGGATGGTCAGGAGATGGATGATCGGGAATAGGATGGTAAGGAGTAGGATGGTAAGGAGTAGGATTGTAAGGAGTAGGATGGTAAGGAGTAGGATGATCAGGAATAGGATTGTAAGGAGTAGGATGGTAAGGAGTAGGATGGTAAAAAGTAGGATGGTAAGGAGTGGGATGGTAAGGAGTAGGATGGTAAGGAGGAGGATGGTAAGGAGGAGGATGGTAAGGAGGTAACATCTATGGGTGGCTATTACTATTAGTTGAGAGTATACCTGGCAGGAGTAATATCATAAACAAGGTTTAGAAGATGAAGACTTGGAAAATCTCGCCAGTTTTCTAATATTAAAAACATTTTTATAATACTAGCCTAGCATTTACAAACCTAAGAAAATATTTCCCATCTTGAAGAAATTATGAAATTACCAAGATAATTGTTTGTTGAGGTGATTGGAACAAGTTCACTTGGATCTAGGAGTTCATTGTTTACAAAACTATCCGTCTGCACCCTACAGATTATACAAATAGGATATTAGATCAGAAATATAGATTATACAGATAGGATAATAGATCAGGACTACAGATTACACAGATAAGATAATAGATCAGAACTACAGATTACACAGATAAGATAATAGATCAGAACTAGATTACACAGATAGGATAATAGATCAGGACTAAAGATTACATAGATAGGATAATAGATCAGGACTACAGATTACACAGATAGGATAATGGATCAGAACTAAAGAATATACAGATAGGATAATAGATTAGAACTACAGATTACACAGATTGGACAAAATATAAGAACTACATATTACACTGATAGCATAATAGATTAGAACTACAGATTTCACAGATAGGATAATAGATTATAACTACAGATAGCACAGATAGGACAATATATTAGAACTACAGATTACACAGATAGGACAATAGATCAGGACTACAGATTATACAGATAGGATAATAGATTAGAACTACAGATTACACAGATAGGACAATATTTAAGAACTACATATTACACTGAGATAGGACAATATTTAAGAACTACATATTACACTGATAGCATAATAGATTAGAACTACAGATTACACAGATAGGACAATATTTAAGAACTACATATTACACTGAAAGCATAATAGATTAGAACTACAGATTACACAGATAGGATAATAGATTAGAACTACATATTACACAAGTAAGATAATATAATTGACAAAATAAATAATGAATTACAGATAAAATAGATAAGAAATAAATTAGAGAAAGAGCTCACATAACAAAGAAATGAGAAATCAGAAACCGGTTTTCTGAAATTTTTGATTTTCTTATATTCAACCCATTATTTACCTCTCAGTGAATTTGAAAGTTTGGCAGCAAACAAGTACAGGTATACCGGCAGATTCAGCTATCAAAGCAACCTATAAACATTAAAAATAATTCAATTGACAGGCGTAGGAAGAACATCCAATCCAATTATCTAATTTTTCCCATTGAAAGTTTCTTAACAATATGTCCTCCTCTCAAATTATAAAATAACAAGTTTACACAACTGTCCTGAAGCCTCATTGTGAATATCTCCATTGTTATTTATACTAGCTAAATTTTAACTAAACATTTACTTTTCTAACTGAGTGTTAATTACCATCCCTCCGATAGAGAAATTAGTGTCCTGAGTGATAATTATCATCCCACTGATGGAGAAGTGTACTTATTGTTAAATACCATCCTTCAGAAGGAGTAATTAACATTGAATAAAAAACCGTTCCCTCTGGGGGAAACAATTTCCCTGTGAACGATTATAACTTGTTAACTACTAGACTTGGAATAAATCTACGACCAAGTACAAGTTCAGCTTGAAAAGTTTGAAAAGTAAATGTGTAGATAAAATTTAGCTAGGATGAATAACAATGGAGATATTCACATTTTTGTCACTTAAAATATGTCAAAATTCGAACAAATTTCCTCCGTCACTAAATTGCGATTTATTTCCATAAAGTAGCGCTAGAAACATTTGATTTGCAGTAGCAAAGTAACCTCCAGTGGTTACTGGTTATGGCCGTTTTTTAGTTATTTGAGGTTAACCCTATTGAGGCTTTAGGACAGCTGTGTTCACACAATCTTAAGAACCAATGAAAAAACGAACAAAATGTCTGAAAATGTTTAGGGAAAATGTCTGAAAATGTTTAGGGAAAATGTTTGTAAATGTTTAGGGAAAATGTCTGAAAATGTTTAGGGAAAATGTTTGAAAATGTTTAGGGAAAATGTCTGAAAATGTTTAGGGAAAATGCATGCGTGTTCTAACCTGGGATGTTCCTACTTGAGCAAGCACACAACCATTTGCAAGTACACCGTCACAGCCTAGGAACACCTTAACAACAAATAAAGTGATTATTTGATTCATTTAACAAGTTTAATTATTGATAATAGCTGACGAAAGTTTTTTTATCTTATTCGGTCAAATTATTTATATAACATTTCAAAATGATTATTTGATTCATTTAACAAGTTAAATTATTGATAACAGCTGACGGAGTTTTTTATCTAATTCCGTCAAATCATTTATATAACTTTTCAAAGTGATTATTTGATACATTACCAAGTTTAATTATTGATAATAGCTGACGGAATTTTTTTTTTCATGTAATTCGGTTAAATCCTTTATATATATACTTCAAATCGGAGGCGAATGGGGGGTTCAGCACTCCCCCCCCCCCCTCCCATGGATCAGTAAAATCTAAGGATTTTAGAAGACTTTTGGGCCCAAACGGGTGCTGAGCAGTGAGCAACACTAAGAAAAAAAACCAACCCTGAGGGATAAAATAATAATGAAATCAATAAAACTATCAATTATGATTTTAATTCTCTTATTTCTTACTAATGCATATGGAAGAATATTTAATTTCATGGATCAGTAAAATCTAAGGATTTTAGAAGACTTTTGGGCCCAAACGGGTGCTGAGCAGTGAGCAACACTAAGAAAAAAAACTTAAGCCCCGGCCCTCCCCCCTGGACAAATTCATGAGTACGCCCCTGTCTGAAAGTGTTAAAATGTTGGTTGACAAATCAAATCAGACTTTCAGGGATATGACATCTTTATATTTAAACGGAGTCTAACGTAATGCAAAGATAGCAATACCCGATTTACAACAGTGTCCGTGAAACCTTAATCTGAACAAAAAAGTGGAAGAAAACGTTTTTTAACCAACTCGAAAAGTGTTAATTTCTGCAAATTTTTCAAGCCAGAAATCAAAGGTCACTTTTGCAGAGCACCCACAAAGGAATATGAACAGTTCAGAAAAACAAAAAAATGCATATATACTTGATCAGACTAAATGTACCGTTGTAAATCGGTCATTGCCAAGGTTATAATGCAAAGAAAGTAAATTGCAGTTGTGTTTACTCTGCGAACATATTGAAACCAGTTCTTTTTGGGCGGAATTTGTAAACAAGAATAGATGCATCAGTGTTCGTTTTGTATCCGAAGAGATTAAAAGCATTAAATTTTGATGATTTTTAAAATTCACATAATAGTTTCCTATGACCAGTATACTTCATTGATTATTTATATGAAAGATGGATCCCATGTCAGGCTTCGACATCCGTCTTGTGTTAACATTACCGCCCAGAGACAGTACACTCCAGTACAAAAGATGCGTACACCTCTGAAATAACTTTCTTTGCATTATAACCTTGCTCATTGCCATCTTTGCATGGAGGGTTACTTGAAATTACTCTTACAAGTTACAGTCCCTTTAATTATATTTTTTTAAAGTTTGCAAATATGAAAATAATAATACCTTGGTGACCCCAGCTAATACTTGTGTAAGGGCGGTAAGGAGAATGTAGGTAGTTTCAATACCTTCTTTTACAAGCTTGTCTGCTAGTACTCTACCTGATCAATCAATCAATTATTCAATCAAACGTTGGATCGATCAGATTGGTCTATCAATCGATCAACCAATTAATCAGTCACTCAATCACTCGATGAATGAACCATTCAATATTCAATACCTTTCTTTACTAGTTTATCTGCCAGAACTTTACCTGATCAACTGATCATTCAATCAATCAGTCAACCTATCGACCAATGTATATATCCATTTATCAATCAACCAAACCATATATTTGACCTAAACTTGGTTTCATATAACCAATTAATCAATCAATCAATGAGTATATCAACAAAAACTCTATATTTGACCTTAACATGGTTTCATCTTTCCAATTCATCAATCAATCAATGATTACAGCGTTTCGGATCCGGATCCGGTCGGATCCGTATCATTTGGTCGGATCCGGATCCGTATCAGGAAACGTTGATATGGATCCGGGTAGCGCCAAAAATTAACCAAAACCATGGAATAAATAAATCAAAATGGTTCGTAAATGTATTATTTACATGACGAAAATTTTTCAAAATTATCTTTAATAATTTAATGTTTACATTTATATAATAGTAATGACGACATTTTTAACTTTAGGATTACTATAGTTTATAAATTATAACCTTGCATAACATTTAATAGGGAAAATCCGATTCACAGAATCAAAAGTTACCTCGGATCCGGATCGGATCCGGATCCGTATCAGAGTCAGGATCCGGATCGATCATCACGGATGCGGATCCGCGGATCCGAATCCGAATCAAAATGATATGGATCCGAAACACTGAATGATTATATCAACAAAAACTTTATATTTGACCTTAACATGGTTTCATATATCCAATTAATCAATTAATCAATGAGTATATCAACTAAACCCTATATTTGACCTCAACATGGTTACAACTATCCAATCAATCAATTTATCAATAAATCAATCAGTCAATCAATGAGTATATCAAGCATGAATCTGACCTCTGCTGGGAACTCTACTGTCTGCTACAATGACTCTGAAGTTCTTCTCCCTGCTGGCCTCTATGAGCAACCTCTCCACTAGGTTGCTGTGGGAGTAGGTCAACAGCACATCACCTTTGAGGAAAATATCACACTCTTCACTTTATGTTGTTTAAACTAATATTGTATTGTTTTATTGTTTTGGTTTCGCTTAGATACGATTTAAGAACTTACCATTTTTAATCTTAAGTCTCCCCGTTTCCGATATTTGTTGTGCAGCAAGATGCAAGTTTTCCTGGATAAAATCCGCAAATATGGTTTTAATCTCTGTACACAGTTCCTCCATTGGTAAACTCCTAAATATCGTCTTCATTATTTTAAGCATTTCTCAAAGAAATTCTAATCGCAAGAATCCATGCCATTTTTTTCTGTGGGTCCGAATCCTAGATCCGCTCTGTTTAACAGGATCTGAAACCTAGATCCTCTATGTTTAACAGGATCTGAAATCCGGCTTAAATGGGAAAAAAAAAATTTCAAGAGGAAAATCAATGTATTTTAGGGTAAAAAATTGATAAGGAGGAATCTTTTTAATTTTCCCTTCTCAAAATCATTCATTTCTTCGAAATCTAATAAACCCCTACCGAAATCTCCACCATCTGTTCAGATAATAATGTTCATTTAGAAAATATGTTTTCTAAATATTAAGTGAAGTTTCGGATTGAATTACCTGTCTATGGCTTTAAGTTTAGATTTAATGACCCTGAGTGCATTACTCATGGCTACGGAGAGGGGTCGACATTGCTTCAGGAAGGTCAGATTTGGTTTCAAGGCATTGTCGATTTCCTAAAAGTACAGATGTTTATTTAACAAAAATCCATATTTTACTAACTTTTAACTTTAAGATCTTGAAATAAGCGTCTACACTTTACACTATACAGTCTACAGTCCTTTTAATAAGGTAAATTAATTATTATTAACAAAAAAGAGAATAGAATAAACGTCCAAACGGCTTAACAGATCGGGCCCTTTTGTGTGGGACCTCACATGACCTTGGGGAAGGTTAATGGATAATCAGAATTACAAAAGTTGTCTCCAAAATTTTCGATTTTCGTAAAATTTTTAAAATCCGCAAAAAAAATATTATTGTGGTATCGAAGAGAAAAGGCTGAAAGATTTAGCAACAATTAAAAGTTGAAATAGAATATAGCCTAGTACCTTAAAAAGATCAACTTGTGACACATCCTTTATTTGAGAGACACAATCTAACACAACATCCTCAAGAACACTGTTGAATAAAACATATTTATTATAATGCTTTAACCAAAGTTTCCTATTTTCTGTAATATTTGGAAAAGGATAGTTCCTCAACTTAAAAATATCAGCATTTTAGTTTCTAGTTCCTGGTCAAAGATGTAATTCTAAATCTAAAACCGAAAAAAATTCAATTTATTATTAAAATGGACACCTTAAGAATAACCCTACAAAGCATAAACATAAACATCATTTTGTAAGCAGAAATAAAAACTACAAAAATGTTGAATATATTTGTTTTCCTTAACAGAGCTTTACATCTCTCCTCACTACCTGTCACCTCACCCTCAGTTAACTAGGAAAAAAATAAATTTGAACAGTTTCATTAATATTTCATGATTTTGATGCAGATTTAGGTCACTTCTGATATATGCGTCCTGCAAAAATAATCCAGTTTTCGGCTTCATAAAATTAATAGTTTCAAAAAGTTTTAAAAATTTCTTAAATTAAGCTTGGTTTTATTGATATTTGGTGAGATAACGGGTGTTACCCATTAACCCAGCACAATGTTATCACCAATAATAACGGATATATGAGTTTTCAGAGGAAAAAATATTTTTTCTCCTCTCATGTTTCATAAAACAGATTTAGACTGTGTTGGCTCAAAATGTTGATTTGAAATACCATAATTCACATTTTGAGAATTGATGAATCATCTTTTTTTCAAGAAACTTCGACATTAAGTTGAGCCATTTCTTTCTTGAATTCAGACTTGAGGTAGAAAAATGAGTTGACCGCAATGAAAATCTACCTGTAATCCAACCTCTACAACCCTGGGATGTATGGAACCCCCGACTGCCGGAAGATCTTTAGTCACCGATGAATCCTAAGCTTACATTCACATTAAACTTATTCCTAGTAATCTGAGAATTAAAAAAAAAATTGTGTTTTGACTTATTGGAATGGGAATGAGGGTTAACAAATGAAATATTCATGACACACAAAAAAATTATTTAATTCAATTCAGGATGAAAGTTTTCTTATTACAAAACACAAAAACCACACTTAATTGATTCATTGAAAAACAAAATAATTTGGCAATTATGATTTAATTGTTTTCTGATTAGGTCAAAGAAAAGCTTTTCAATAACAGATTCAAAAAATAAAAAGTTTATGAAAAAATGGAAAAAGGGACCGATGTTATTTTTACGATTTCAATGGTTAATGTTCCTTCTCGTATTGATGAAGATGGGAGAAAAGAGGAACCAATCGTTGCGCCTAAATAGAATATTTTTTTCTATATTTTAATTCAACAAGTAGAACAATTTCATATATTTCTGCTGAAACCCCCCCCCCCCTCTCACAAACTATTCAAACTACTCACAACTACACAAAGTGAGGTGTAAATAGTATCCTTGTGAAATTGATTTTGTTTATGACAATAATAATAACACTGATAATAATGATAATACTGCTAAAAATAAGTACCTTAGTTCTCGGAGGAACCTTGTGGGTGGCGAGCACCTTAGCCAGCTTATCCTGGGCCTTCTTCTGGTCAGCCTTATCAATCAATCAATCAATCAATCAATTAATCAGTCAATCAATCAATCAATCAATCATACAAATATCAATCAATATCATGATTTTAATATCAACCAATTACATCACTTGGTCTATCAGTACCAAATACGATCAATATATCAATGATACAATTTAACAAATTCACATTTCCTTTCATCCATTAACCATTTGATCAATCGAAGTACAAAACAAATATTGATCATCCATTAATCAACAGACCAACCAATCAATCAACCAACTAATGAATCAATGAAAAAATGTGAAAAATTACTTTTTTTGATATCTGGAAAACGGAGATTTAAACAGAAAAAAATATAGGTCATCAGGTTTCTGTTTTTAAACTGTTCTTAATAATTTCATACCTGTATCTCGTCTGGAATTCGAACCTTGGTTGGTCCAGGCTTCTGTTTCTGCTCCTAAAATAACACAAAAAGTGTTAGTTTAAACAACAAGTAATAAGACACTAACTCTATTATTAATTCAATTGCAACGATATTTAAATTGTAGGTTTCTTATCACAAAAAATACATTTATTCGAAAGTGTAACACTCATTTTTTGAGATAAAATTTTAATTCTAGTTATTCTGATCTTTTTTTCTTAATTACTTGCATAAAGAAGAAAAAAAAATAAAACATAAATTGGACCTATTATATTTAAACAAAAAATGAGAAACTATTAATAACATAATGTATTTGATAAGAAAAAAAGGACAGTAATGATAACTGTCAATGCATTTGGATAAGTAAACTTCCAAATAACTAGATCCTGTAAAACTACAGGCCCAATAATATTTTTTGTATTTTTTAACGAACCTGAGTTTTCGCCGCTCTCTGTGCATCTTGTTTTGCTCTTCGTTCAGCTTTTAATTCAGCTTTACTTTTCCCTCCTTCTCCTTTGCTCTCAACTTTATCCGCCAACATGTTCGCCTCAAACTCCGCCTTGCGCTTAGCTTTTTCCGCCTCCTTTTGCTTTTGCTCCTCTGTTTTCTCTTTACCGAGCTTTTTATCTTCAGTTGGCGCATTTTCTTTTGAAGTGGCTTCAGGGATTGCAGCGGCTGAAACGGATTTCTTCTGTTTTGCGACATTTTTCCCCGCTGCTTTTGCGGCTTTTTTGGCGTCGCGTTCCGACTTGACGGCCCCAGGATCTTCCACTTTGGCCTGGACATAAGACATACATTTTTATTTGTTGATCAGTAGTATTTTTCTGGAAAAGAAGACGACATTAGTTCCCGTCTCCGTATAAAAACGAAATGATTTTTAATTGTATTTATTTTATTAGTTCCTAATATTGGTCTATTTTCTAATTGTATAAATGCGCTTGGCTTACATTGGATTCGTCTAATTTCACATGTTCCACCATATCTGAGATTTTTTCCACTTCAGGGTTCTTGGCAGGGGTTTCCACCTTTTCCGTTTTTGTCTTTTTCTCTTCCTCTTTCTTCCGTTGTTTTTCTTGCTTCCTCATTTCCTGTTTTACCTATTTATATATTTATTGGTTTAAACAATTTTGTTTATAATGAGAACTTTTATTCCCACCCTAAAAAATTTAATTTCCACAATGATAGCTGTATTTCCACTCCTATATTTCACATTTCCGTTCCAAAGCATTTTTTCAATCAGGCCTTTTTACCCCTTTTGGTCAGTGTCTTGTTTTTCCCATTATTTCATTTTTCTAAAACTACAGAACCCAGAGAGTGCCCCCCACCCCCCTTCCGAAAAAAAATCCCTTAATCATATTATGAGACATAAACCAAAATTAAGATCATTTATTTTTCCTACCTTGGCCGGAACAGGCATTTCAGGGGCCTTAAAAAAGAATTAATTACATTTTTCAATTTAGGGTTGATATTTGAGAAATATAATATTTACAACAATTCACTGTAGAGATTTTACAGTTCTGCATTGAATAATACGTAATTAAAGAAATCCAAAGAAATATCAATAAAATCTGTTATATTTAATATTTTATCTTCTCTATGTGAAAATACAAAGAAAAAAATAAGTAATTTTAGAACTGCAAGTAAATATAAATAAAATGTGTGGTTGTCTTTGATATTTTAGCTTCTGTACAGGGTTACCCTCAAAGGATGAGACTGTAAAGACGACCTGAAACTAATAAAATATGACGATTACAAGGTTAAATTACATCTTCTGCCTTGAATTTTGTCTTCTAATTGCCTATTTGTTGTCATGGCAACGAAAGAATCCAGTTCTTTGCAGAGAATCCTAAACATAAGGAAATGAACACTATACTTTCCGTAAAATCGTCTCTGAAGTCTCATCCTTTGTGGGTAACCCTGTAAGTGAAAAATGATATATACCTCGATATCCTCCCAGGATTCTACTATTTCCTCCTCTGCATCCCAGCTCTCATTGACCTCCTGGAACAAGAACTAAGTTACATGAAGTTTACCATCCATCTTGATTTCAAAAAATTAGATTAAGCAAACTTCTCGAGCAATATTTTTTTTATCTTTATACCATCTTCTTTACTTTAGATTTTCATACCCTTCTTCTTAAATAATAATTTTTGGCGAAATTCGCAAGGATTGGTGAATATGTTATCAATGTTGTTTTTAATGGACCTGAGGCCGAATTTAAAGAATTCGGCTCAAATATGGTTGGTTTCACTTAAAATTGTTTTCAATGTTTCAAGATTCAAGCCGGCGCTCAATTGAAACCGGTTGTTTTTGGCGGATTTGAGATGCGGCTCAAATTCATTAATTTCGGACTCTGTAGTCAGAACTTTTGTGTTGTGAATCTTGAAATCATACCCATTTATAAATTATAATTTATAAATTATAATTCTGGGATCAAGCATTTATAATAAATAATAAAGGGGACGGTGGAGTTGACACATTTGATGTAGGGGG